GAAACATATGAAATAATAGAGAAAGCTAATCTTACATTAAAACCTAGTGTTTCTCTTTTTTATTCTTTGTATTTTAGAAATGTAATTCGATTGTAACAAAAGCTGTCACTGGATTGACCTAGAAAATTTACATTGAAAAATGTAATTACATTGGTATGTTTGGTGTTTAAGAGAAAAAAAATATATAGAAGTAAAGGGTAAATAGAAAAGAAATACATGTATGGCATCAAATTGACGATTACTGCTCAATGGTCATATCAACAATCATTTTTTTAACATATTCATATCACAATATCATGGTGCGAAAAATGTATGAATATACTACATGTATTTCAGTAAACATGCAAATCATTTACAAGGTATATATGGAGAAGTCTAATGTTTAACAATAACGTATAGAATAGAAATTCAAAGAAATGAATACTCTCAATGTAAAGAAGTGCGAATGGCAGACGGAGGGAGATAACAAAAATAGCTTTACATAGCAGATATTGTTGCATTTACTTCCCTTTAGTTAATGTTAGATAATATTCAAGTGTTTTATTATGCAAAGTGAATTGAATATAATTTATTATGTTTATTTTATAGAAAAGTGTTCAGATCGGAGGGAAGTGGTGGTCTCCGCCTACTCTATCGTGGACCTGAACTCAACCAGAGCTCGACTTGGGGCATGACAGCTCCAATAAGGTCTTCCTGCGAAGACACGCGCCCAAGGCCGTGCCAGGTACACTCCAGACACTCAACTTCCTAGTGGCGGTCGGGAGGCAGGAGTAAACCCGACTTCACGATGATTCCTATATAAAGGTGTCGGAGGTCACAGTTCCCGCGATCTTATATAATTTATTTATCGAATGGCGGTATCGTAGGCCAGAAGAAGAAACATATTTCTTTTGTATACTGTGTATAGAAATGGTGAAAATGGCATTAGATTTAAAGATACGGAAGTGGAGTTGATTAGTCCTTTTAGACATAGCCAGCGTATTCTGACCTTTCCTTTAGAAAAATCAAAATTCTGTGGTCTAATTAAAATGCAGACGACTATAAATATCATATGTGCCCTATACAAGGGTGTTAGAGTTCACAGTTCCCATGATCTTATTTAATTCAATAAGCGAATGGCGGTATCTGGAATTAGCATTTGAATATCGGTAAGTTCGGTATTGTTTCCGCGCGCTGTACACATAATTGCAATCGCAGTTGTTAAACTAAATTCTCCATATAATCAGGAAGCAGTAATACATGTTTAAAACATACAGTATGTTTTTATAATATTTAGACATTAAAAAACATTGACAAAATATTTTTAACATAGGCCAAAAGATGAAAAATATTTCATTTTGTATACAGGGGATAGAAAATGCACATTTTATATAGTGAAAAATGGCATTTGAAAACATTATGGAAGAAAATGTATTCTGGACCATCTAATGTATTGGCTTTTTTCCCACGCAGATCATAAAATACTTGTAGCAGGAAGTATAGGCATTATGAATCTATTTTCCTCTCTGAAATCTAATACTTTTCAGATAATAGGATTCTGCTTTAGGCATTTTATATTTTAAACACGTCTTGTAACGATAATGTTTAAAAGAAAATTGCAAACCTGTTCCTAAGTATGTGCTGTACTTTGTTTTCGTTTCTATATATCTGTATCTTTTATATATAATTATAATATCGTTTTGAGCTCTACTCGTTGTTAATCAATGTACAGAGTTGTATCCGGTAACAATCAATATTTTGCTACGTTTCACACATAAAATTCGGGTCACCAGTCGAGCAATGCTTATTTGAACTTTGACTTTAACGAACAAGCAAAATCTGTATTGATCATATCCCAGACCAAATGTAAAGCTGAGCATTTAAAGACAATGAAAAACAAAACTTGCAACCAGTACAAATGACAATACTGGTATCTTCATTAACAAAAGAACTATGGTGGCTGATTTCTGCCATTTCGTGTCTTCGCCCCGAAAGTCAAAAGGCGAAGACACGAAAACAAACCTATTTGTCGTTATTTTGACTTTCGCCTTTCGGGGCAAAGACACGAAAACACGAAACATTCTAGACGACAAAACGAAACTTTAACACGCGAAGGGACAAAAATTTAATTGTTTAAGTTTTTCGTGTCCGCGGCTTCGCGCCCTTTGTTTATCGTGTCTTCGTATCTTCGCCTTAAAACGCGAAGGTCGAAATAACGAAAATACGGCAGATCTTCGTGTTGTCGTGATTTTGCCCGAAACGACAATGACATTGTTTCAGGTTTCGCCTTTCGGTAGGCATGCGCCGAACGGTAAACAGAAATGATCGACCAAACTTCTATCTCGCAAAGTAGGGTAAAATAGAAAGTTCCAGTACACGGAATCCAGAACACAGGATATTCTCCGCCTTACGTTGGATAGTTTCCGACCTGTAATTATTTGCCTTGTAAACCTTCAATGACTTTAAATAAGTTTATGTAAAGGAAGTATATAAAAGCTCGGGAAAGTCATACAAAATTAATTTGAATATACCACCATAAAAGAACAGTATCAAGAATCACGCACGACAATACGATTCTATGGGAAATTTAGCATTGAAATAGATATGTGATAAAACTTAAAATTACAAATTTTTGGGCATCATTTTTCTATATGAATTATTTATTTTACATCTTTTTTTGTCACGCTATGCTAGAGGAGTTAACCTAATATTATAATTTTTTCATCATTTTTAGTTATCCCTAAGACATAAATTTGATTTACATGACTTTTTAAACCATACATATTTTTTAATTGTTTATGTATGTCTTAACATTTTCTGATAATGTCAAGCCCATTTCATGTTGCCATGTATCCACCCATCTATCTGTTTAATTTAAAATCAGTCCTGACTCTGAAATTTCTACAATCCATTGAACCTATTTCTTAAAAGGGCATGGTGTCAAATTTAAAGGGTGGGGTGTGGCTGCTGGTTCATCAAATGCCACTCTCCATTGCTGACCTCATATTTACGGCTCAACATACATTCAATATTCTTATGTTATTAACCAAAAGATCATATATATATATAAAGGAGACGTAGGCCTAACATTAATCTGACTATTATGAATGCAAAACCAAGACCTGTAAAGAAATGGACCTGTGCAATCATCAACATTATTGGTAGATATTATAAAATAAAAATATCTTCAATAGTAGGACAGCTAGTCTTCTCTTCCATACCTCCCATACTACACTGCACAAAAAAGTTCAGGAAAAATAGTGTTTTATACAAAGAACCCTAAACCATTACCGTTATGTATTTCTATCATGTGCTATATGATATAAAGGAACAATAAGTTGTAATATAAGTATTATGAATACCAAATGTATTTATGTGACATCTTTGGGAAAGTTCAGTCTTATTCGGTAATAAGAAATGAATGTATGGACCTATAATTGGAATTATTCAAGAATGCCCATTGCTGGAGAAATAAGTACTTGTAAGACGGTATTTTAGTTAAAATACATTTTTTTCCCTTTTTTCCATTACAGTTGCTTATCGTCTAACGATTATTCGCTAAAAACGTTTCCTCAAACGTATGTAACCTTGTTTACGCAATAGATGTTAAAGTGTAAAATGTGAAGATCTCTGCAAATATAAAAGGCATATTACAGAACATTACTATATAGGGAAATAAAACGTAGATTCAGAAGAGAAGAACTGTAATGTATTTTCACGAACTTTGTCAATGGCAAATAAAGCCCTCTAGCTGTAAACAATTGTAATTGTAATGTTAGTATTTTAAAAAAAAATCAATACAGATCAATTAACAATACTAGATACGAGCCATTGTATGTTTTGATATTTTTTGCCAAAATAGTGTGATATTAACATTCGAAATGCAGATCTTTCTTAGGTTTACTCCTCAATCCTGACAGGAAATAAAAATACCACTCATTTCCTGTTTTAAGATGAGCATTCAAATATCTTTTGATTTTAACTCTCAATTATTTACAATAAATTGTCAAAAATTTATTTGACCAATCTAAAGTCAGTCGACTGTATACTGAACATTCCAACGTCGCAGTTTTATTTTAATTGTTGTCTTTTATTAAGTTTCAGTTCATTTACAAATATTGATAATTGTATATCTTAAGAAAAAATGTTGCAGGGTTCCTTTGCTGAATCGGGCATCGAAATATGTATACGTTCTATAAAGTTGTACTCGTCCACTGAACAAAAGCGCCAAAAAAGCTTGTACGTTCTAATACGTAACATGTATGCAAAGAATATGTCGTTAGATTTCGACGTACCCTGGAACTGATGTATATACTTATTTTATTTCCAAAACATCGTTGACTTAGGCAAAGCCATTAACGTTTCTTTATAAATACTTTTGTTAAAAGATCAAAAGGTTTCTAAGTTTTGATTAATATGCTGTTCGTGAATTAGAAGAAACAGCATATTCAAAATCAGATGACGCAAAGACTGTAAATCAATGAATGTATAATTGTGGTGTCAATAAGTATGTCAACAAATTTACAATAATTATACAATGGGAAACAATGAAAGCAACAGGCGACATACATTACACGAAGGAGTTAATAAATTTAATTAATTTGAATTAACAATAGTGCCAAAATGATGATTTTGATACACCTGTTTACGGGTATTGAATGTACACATCATGTGCATATCAAGTTTTTTAAAAATGTGTATTTTTTTGATAATTAATCTGATACTTTAACCACCAATATTACAAAAAGACAACGGAGAAGCATAAATGGAAAAAATAAAGATATATATTGAATTATTAAGCAAACATCAACGCCCTGAGATGTAGAGGCGTTTATCTAGTACGAAGGGTAACAATCTCTTTTCAATTTCTTTTTCGATAATCAGATAACGCGTTTAATAGCTAATTTCTCATTCGCATATTGACACGAATACGAATACTTTTTCTGTTTATCATTGATATTGCTCACATAAAAAGCAAATGTATATCGTATTAAAAGTGTTGTTAAAAGTATTTATGGATGTAATAAAGTCTTTTTAACAAAGACGAGATAACGTATTTAAAGGACGTCAAGTAAATAGTAAAGCGACTATTCATATACTATAAGGTTATTTAAAATCGAAAGAGGAAGTTATTTATTTACATATTTTTGGATTCTATAAAACTCATGATCAGTGACGCGTTTATCTCTTTCAATATATATCGATGAATCAAAGACGCTTATTACGTAGTGAGCAAAATTGAAGACATTTGATTTATATGGGATATTAAGTAAAACAAGGTATTCAGACATTTTATGATTTGTTTAAGAAAACCTTCTCATAAACCCTATCATTACAACACATCATTTTTAAAATTATTATCAATATAACATTTCTCATCACTTTATCTCTAGTTAATCTTTAGTTAACATTCATATATTATCATCATTATAAACCATTGTAAAATCGTATGTTCCAATCAGTTTGTTGATTTCCAAGTTTCCAAGTTTTCCAAGTTTGTTTGATTATCTCAGTATGCATACAAATACATAAACACGAGAAAAAGAATCCTAAATATATATAAAACCATGTCTACAGAGGAAAACATTCATTCAAAAATATGAATTATGAATCGCAACCAAATTTCTTTTGTATATTAAAGAAAGACAGTACTGAAATCAAAATGTCTAGAATAAATTGTTAACAAATATCATCTGTCAACCTTAACCTTTTCTTAACCTGACTTCTAATTGTATTGTGATTGGTCACCTGGTGGCAGGCGCTTTCTACTGTGCCGTTAAATAAACTTCTGCAATTTACACAAAAATATGTCATTGGGTCAGTAGGTGTATTGTGTCTGCACGCGGTATAGTTTCAATAAAAATATAGCGCTGTGATGATTTCGTTTGTGTGGCAAAAATGGACTTAATTAACCTGCAAAAAGTAAAAGAGAAGAAATAAATCTCTGTTGATCTTGGATTACTATCTGGTTACTACGGAAGCCCATTGAGGCCGTTTTGAGATAGAAGATAAAACTTAGATGTTAATTCTTAGATATTAGAACTTAGGTCTTAGCTCTTAGAACTTAGAGGTTCCGTATAGGCGGGAAAACGCCATATTTACTGCAAGATAGACAAGAAGATGTCAGTAAGATAAACCTTTTATTATAATTCTTCAATTCTATTTTTATTTAAAGAATTGCAGAGAAATAGCTAGAATGTTAAAAGATAAAACGATGATATATTATGAATAAAAAACAACCAATTTCAATAGGAGACAAAGGTCGAACAAGCTATCTACAACAAGCAGGGACAAATTAACTCCATAAGTATCTATTTTAGTCAGTTCTAGCTATTTTAGCCGAACCTGGCTACCAAAAGAATCTTCGATGGCGGGCACAAGCTTAGAAACTGATATATTTGTTGCCTGTATTTATTTAATTCCCCAATTAACAAATTTGAAACAGTATTTAAATTGTGTATTTAATAGTTTTAAAAAAATGTCGGTTTCTAATGTGTATCAAAATAATTTGATTATTTTTCCTATTGCAGAATCTTCTTTATTCCTTTTCGGGACGACGAAAATTGTTTATACATGGGCATGGATGTTTGAAATTGGCTGTTATAACACCAATATCTAGTGTTGTGATCATGTGTCATTCTCAGAGGGGCGCATTTAACAAGCCTAGAACTGATTAAGAATTACTTATCCATAGTTTATTTTACAAAAATATTAAATTAATACTGAAAGCTAACAAAATTATCCAACGCAAAACACGTACACCAAAGGACGATGGAAGGGACCCCATTATTGTAGTAATCTGGAGGAGTACCACAAACTGCTGACAGACTACCGGTTGCAATGTGTAGAGATTTTGTGATGAGGCGGTTGCCACAAAGCGATCCCAAAGGAACGAATGAACGCAAAGCCACCGATCATCTCGGAAAAGATATGTCGCAAAAGGTCTTTACTTTGTGTGGCATGTAAATGGTTACGATAAGTTAAAGCTATATGGATTCCGCATCCACGGAGCGATCGACGGGTACAGTCGACACATTTTATGTCTCGAAGTAACAAACAACAACAACTCGCCCGCATTGATAGCGTTATACTACCTTGACACATTAAACTAATTAGGCATTTTACAGAACTGTATATCCAAGTTCTTAATTCATCGTTCTGGTTTAATTTCAAGTTCATGTGAATATATGTTTTGAATATAATTGACGGATTAAGACACGCTTTATTTTTTAAACTATTAACAAAACGTTTAAAAATGAGTACAATGTATTTTGTTCATTCGATTATTTTTCTATAAATATTTGATGTAGACCTACAGATATCATTGATCTTTACAAAAAATGTAATTGTGACAGAGCTGAAGTAATAATAGTTTCTGATGTTTACACGCTATTGACATGTTCTTGTCGAGACTGTCATATTCTTTTTTTGTGATAAATGAGATAAGCGCCTTGTTTCATGTTTTATAGTTTACTGTTACTTGAATTAAGTTTTATGTATGATTACTGTTACTTGAATAAAGTTTTATGTGTGATAACGGAGTTATGTTTCCATTCTTTTACCTCTTTCAAAACAGATTTTTTTTAAATTCTATAACTAAGTTCTAATGTCTAAGTTCTAATAACTAAGTCCTAAGAACTAAGTTCTAATGTCTAAGTTCTAAGAACTAATTTCTAATGTCTAAGTTTTAATGGCTAAGTTCAAAGAACAAATTTCTAATGTCTAAGTTCTAATGTCTAAGTTCTAAGAACTAATTTCTAATGTCTAAGTGCTAAGATAGTTGGACCATGTTTAGGCAAATTTGTAGGTCCTCCACTGCCACGGTCCCCTCTTGGACCATCTGTTTGAAGCCCAATATTTCGATCGATCGAGACAGGGTCTCAGCTTTGTTATACTCTGATTTTGTCTGTACTGCATTGTTATACCTGTTGGCCCGTGCATTAAACACACGTCATAACTAGTCTGAAAGGCATGAGCAAGTGCAGATGTATCGTGTGAAAATCAGTTGAAACGGTTCTTCTGATGCTGACACTTCTTTGAACAAAAGGCCGGCACACACACACGCACGCACGCACACACACACGCACGAATGCACAAAACAAAACAATCAATAAACGTACTGCATATAAACCAAAAATACGTATGCAAACTTTTCTGTCTTATCACTGCAATTTAAGGCAATGTGCAACTTTAGCCACAATAATTGCATGAGGTTTTTATAAAATCGCTATGGATTCTTTCATTATTTTTAGCACGCTTTATATTTAGTATTATAGCTTAGCCTAGTTATACAACCTTTGCTTGATAAGCCATCATTCGGTACCCTGCCAATTTGACGACCATAAACTTAGATTATATTATTTCTATTCAGTAATGAAATGTCCTTGTGAATATACTGCTGACCCATTTGAAGCCAAGAGCAAGTCACACCATCAATCATTTGTGCAGAATTATGCACTTTTGTCACCTTAGGAAATTATAGTAAATGGCATTTTATTTAAATACTTTTAATAAACATATTATAAGTATCATGGTAACCCAAATCAGTATTAAAACACTGATAATGTCATCAAATATTAATACAGAAGTGCACTTCGTTAAAATTAGGGCAATGGTGATCTTTTATTTGAGTGGCCACTGTGATCTTGACCTGGTAGAAATGGAAACACGGAAGAATTTACCGCTTATACAAAGTGAACATAAATGAAATTTTAAATGTAGAATAGACGCACAATTTGAACGGACCATTTAATGAAGCTCTGACTACACCAGGCGTTCCACATAACCAGTAATCTTGAAACAGTTCAATAGGTTTTTCAAAAGATCCAGGCACCATTAGCACAAGAGGATGATATTGGGGGTCTAGAATCACATAAATCTATGTTAGAATAAAATATATAATCAATGATATAATTAATATAATAATTAATAAATGATTTAATTTATTATTAGTAATTATGAATGCCAACACCAAACCCATTTACATGTTCTTTATAAGTCATTGAAAATGCTCCACAATCATCTGTAAAAAATCAAGGTACAATTTTAACGATTCGTTTAATGGCTTCAAAAGCTTTCTGTTATTCGACGATAACACTCGAACAAGTTTCTCGGTTTCGTTTCAATGAGGCAGTGTAAGTGATCCACAAAGTTCCGGCTCATCTGTATGTCTTCTTGTTCAACACGATGACCAAAGTTATGTCCACCATAGATTCCATGTACAAAATACATTGTATCAGGTCTTCCGAAAGGTATTTCAAAAACTACTTTGGGTTTATCTTACATGTATAGTTCTGCTTGGACAACCATGTTACGCCTTCTGTGCCGTTATATTCGAGAATTTTCAGTTCCTCTAATGTGTCTGGATAGTATGACGTTTTCACTGCCGGCGAGTTGTTGATACTGTTTGAGCCATAAAATGAGTCGACTGTACAGATCGCTACGAGGATGCAAAATCAACAGGACTTTAACTTGTCGTAACCATTTGCATGCCACACAAAGTTGTTCGGTTCTAGTCTTGTTAAATGCACCCCTTGGGAATGGAAGCTAAATATGTGATTACAACACTTGTTACTGGTGTAATATAAAAAACAGCCAAACTCCAAACCTAGATACCAATTTAGAAACCATTTTCATCGTCCGGAAAAGGGATGATGAAGATTCTGAAATAGAATAAATAATCAAATTATTTTAATATACATTAGAAAACCGACATTTGTAAACTAACAGATACACATTTTTAAATACTGTTTTAAATTTGATAATTGATAATTACATAAATATAGGCAACAGGTTCATCGCTTGTGCCCTCATCGTAGACTTGTTGGTAGCCAGGTTCGGCTAAAATAGCTAGAACTGGCTAAAATATCCACTTATGGAGTTTGTACCAGCCTGTTGAAGATAGCTTGTTCGACCTTTGCCTCCTTTCAAAATTGGTTACTTTTACCCGGTTCTTATTTAAAATATATAATCACTTAATCTTTTAACGTTCTAGCTATAACTCTGCAATTCTTTAAATTAAAAAAGAAATAAATAAATATAATAAAAAGCTTATCTCACTTACATCTTCTTGTATATCTTGCAGTAAATATGGCGAGTTCCCGCCAATATGGAACCTCTAAGTTCTAAGAGCTAAGACCTAAGTTCTAAGATCTATGTTCTAAGATCTAAGATCTAACTTCTAACTTCTATCTCAAAACGGCCTCAATGGGCTTCCGTAGGTTACTGATTTCTAGGGATGTAAGGCTGCAAAATTTACGAATGTGACGGGAAGGGTGAGTAAATATTGGTTTTATTTTGTAAACATAAGAACTAAAGGGGATTTTCCCGGACCCTTATGCATTTGTAATTGCTGTGAATTATCTGATCAGGGTGGGAATTTTAATATTTTCAAATATCCCTCATTTGTCATATACGGTGTGCGTTTGACCAGCCTTTAAACGAAATTGAAATATTAAGGGCTTTGCCTCGCTACAGGTCTTATTTCTGTACTGTCTTCTTAATCACAGTTAAATTAAGGTCAGTTAGGTTCAATTAAGCCGGTAATTAAGTAACTTAAAAATAAACAACTATATGAAGGAAATACAGAAGATATATCTGTTACTGGTATACACTATTATCATATCCATTCATGCTTTTAAATAAGTATTGTCCTCTTTACAAATTTCAAAATAGAATCTATAATTCATTAATTTACATATAAAGTTTTCAAATATTTATATAACTGACTGTCATATGGATGGGTCATTATTTTACAAAAAGACAGAAAAAAAAAGAAAATAGCTCTGTATACTTGTCCTCATTAATAGATAAATGTAGATATTACTACAGTACAGTGTGTACTCAATCATTGTTCTTTGTACAGTCTGACGGCAACCTTAATTTGTAAATATCAAGTATCAAATTTTCAGAGCATCAAAAATTATAAAACTGAGTATTACCAATAAATAGTACCAGTTAATAATAAATTATGATAACAATAGACTGTATATACAAATATGTAGAGTATTAAATAAAGATTTTTAACAGGCAGTTGCAGTTTACATGAAATTTACCATTAAAATTAAATGTCTAACATGCATTGACTCAATCCATTGTGAATAGTGTACCAGTTGTTACTGATTTCGAACAATAAAATATTATTAAACATGATATCATACATGTAAAAAAACATGAAATTTACCATTTTTAGATGGTAACATGAATTGATTCAATTCATAGTGAATGGTGTAACTATTGTTATTGATTTCAAAAAAAAGAAAGAAAAAAAGAATATTATTAAACATGATAGACAGTCATATAAAAAACATGAAATTTACCAATTTTAAATTGTTAACATGCATTAATTAAATTCATAGTAGATGATGTAGATCTAGCTGTTGTTAACAATTGATTTCAAAAGAAAAAAAAAGAAAAAAAAGAAAGAATACTATTAAACATGATATCATACATATGAAAAACAATTGATATTTTCACCAATATTGCTTAAGTTTATAAAATTTAGCATTTACACTGAGCATTTTACCAAATTACATAGCACATTAATTGATAAAATATATAGTACATGGATCTTCATCTAGCTTATATGTAAATTGTTTTACTAAAAAATTTCCAAAAACATTTCAAGTAAGATCATTTAATATTGGGCTTTAACATTTTTGATTATAATTTGTACAAATTTACATACATTAGTTAGTTCTTTTTTGTTTTCTGAATTGAACAACTTGTCAAATTTAAGTATGCTGTGTTGTTTGTAGTAGTAAGGTTTGATCAGTGTTTTTCGTGATTCTTGATTCTTGAAAGTGTTTACATTCAAGGATGTAGTGATATTCATCACCTAAACCTTGATTGCATAAATAACAGGTTCTTTCATTTAATGGTATGTTATGGTAACGTCCAACCCCAACTGGACATTTATGATTCTTTGTTCTAAATGCTCTTAACAGTTTTCCATAATAATTTGGTAATTTTGTGAAATATTTGTTCATGTTTGTATCATGTTTCATTATCTTGTACATGAAGTTAGTAGAATTATTAACTGTTGAGCTCCATGTTTGGATAAATTGGTCTTTAATATTTCTTTTAAAAGCAAGTGAAAACCATTTGAGATTCAGTTCACTTTGGTTTATCAATACATTACTGAATCCATTTGTTTGAATCAGATTATAAATAAAGTCTAACTATTTTGATTTGACATTTCTTTGCCTATTTAATGCAGTTAAAATATTATACATTATGTTTGCCAGTTTGTTATTATCTGTATGTGTGAATTGATTATAATTATGGTTGTTATCATTATCAAAGTCAAAGTCAAAAGTCAAATTTCCTTTATTACACACATTTCATGTTAACATGAATAAATGTGGTTAGTAATAAATACAATGTTAGTAGAGGCTCTTTAAACAAATGTACAATGTATAATTATATAATTTGAGTGGTAAAATAATTCGTAGAAAGAGTATTTATTCATATCATTTGCTGAACTGCAGTACGTTCAATTAACAATGTATCAAAACCACAAATTGTTAAAGTTTTTAGTAATATGTTACCACAAAAAACCGTGGAGAGTCACGTAATTTGGACACTCTCTAAGGGTATAATTTCGTTTCATATTACCTTTCTTTTTATTTATCGACAAACGATGAGAATAGTTACAAAAGGGAAAAGGGAAAAGAAATAATAATATGACCAACTGACAAGTGATGTACAATTATGTACGACATAATATTTTAAACCTTTACAATGACATTTCTAGACTCATACTTATAAGCTAAATGAAAAAAGTGTCATACTATTTAGACAAATATTATAACAAACAAACACTTTACAATGGGTAATAAAAGATTTATCTGTGAAATATTCGTGTAATAGTCTTGGAATGTAAGTAATTCTTGGAATGTAAGTAATCACATATGAGGTGAATTCTAATTTTAATTATCTTAAAATTATTGTTTTAACAAATTTACATAATTTCAAATATTCGCTCTTGTTTTCTGTATTAATTAGTTGATCTAGTTTGAATGTATTTTCACGTCTATAATAATAGGGTTTCAAAAATTTCTTTCTTTCATCATTAAGCAAAACACATTCAAATAAGTAATGAAATTCGTCGCCTATTTTATTGTTACAAGAAGTACATGTTCTTTGATTGATTGGTATTCGGGCCCAATTTCCGGTTTCTATTGGTAATCTATGGTTACGTGTACGAAATTTTATCATGTAACGAAGAAAAGGTTTAGGAGTTGATAAAAGGTATTTTTCGAATTTAAATTCTTTTTTGAATATTCTGTAGAATGTACTTTTGCTGGAGTTTTGACTAACGGAATACCAATCATTTAGAAAAACATCTTTTAGTTTCTGTCTAATTGCTAATTTCAACCACTTCTCGTTTCCAAAATTTTGTGTATCCCATATATTACATAAACCGCAATTTATAAAAATTTGTCTTAAGTTTGCAATCCAAGGAAATTGTTTTCTCAAATTATTTTCACTTAAGTTTTTGGAAAGATTATATGTAATATTATTATCAGTGTTATTATTATTATCATTGGGATTGTTATTATCAGTGTTATTATTATCATTGGGATTGTTATCATTGGTGTTATTATTATCATTGGTATTTTCATTATTAGTGTTGTTAATACCTTTGTTATTATTACTACTACCGTTATTATTATTGTTATTATTTATATTGTTATTGCTATTATTTATTTAATAGAAAAGTTTCAAAGTCATTTAAATAAAGTGAAAATAGTATCGGCGACAAATTTTCGCCTTGTCTTACTCCGATTAGACTTGGGAAAAAGTCAGACACTCCTTGGGAAGTTTTTACACATGATTTAATGTTTTCATACATACTTTTGACTATTTTTAAAAAATTGCCATTTACATTGTATTTAATGAGTTTATTCCATAATCCTTGACGCCAGACAGTATCAAATGCTTGTTTAAAATAAAAAAATGCACAGTATATTTTTTCTTTTGTGTTCTTAGAATCAATTAAAGATTGTTATATAAATAAATTATCTGTAGTTGAGTGATTTTTGCGGAATCCTGCTTGGCATTTGGTTATAATGTTATGGTCTTCAGTGTAATTTGTAATTCTTTTGTTCAATATGGCAGTAAATAATAATTAATTTACCTAAGCAACTTAATAAAGTGATTGGTCTATAATTTCAGGTTGAGTGGCATTTCCCTTATTTTTATAAATGGGTAATATTACACCTTTTGTCAAGCTGGATGGTATTAATCCGGAGTCAAAAATAAGGTTAAATAAGTTGTTATAAATTGGAAGCATTGTATCAATAGTAGACTTAATGTGTTCATTTAAAATATAGTCACATCCTGGACTTTTATTGTTTTGAGTAGTTTAACTGCTTTTTTTATTTCCTCATCAGAGATTTCTGTATTTATTTCTTCATTTACTTCAATAATAGTTTCTGAATCTATTGAATTATCTTCTATGTTTTCTCCTTCATTTGTCTTTTTGAAAAAAATCATATAGGTCATGAAGAGTAGCCTTAGTTGCATTTTTAGATTGATCAATAAAGTTAATTATTTTCCAGTATTCTCTTGAGCTTGTACTTTTGGCATTTCTAAGTTTCTCAATTCTTTTATTTTTGTGTTCTTTGTGTGCAATATTGATTGTTTTCTTTACTAATAACTTTTAGATTATTTTTATTTATTTCTGTTTTGTTTCTATTAAAGATTTTTCTTGCTATATGATAATTGTTTCTCATTTGTTGGCATGTTGTATTAAACCATGGTTGCCATTTTTTTTATGGATCCTCTGTTTGTTCTTTGGTCTCCCAAACGTTACCTTGCAATTGTTTATAAAAAGTTCTTGAATATTTTCTAAACAGTTGTCAAGGTCACATTGGGATATATTTTCTTGCATGTTCATGTTTTCTAAATATTCCTGTATATTGATATGGTTTCGGTGTCTAGATTTTGAATAAATAAATAATTTTTGTCTTTATCCCATAACTTTTGCTCACCTTCTGTTTGTTCTAAACTTTGCTCAGTTTTATCTGTGTTTATTGTAACAGTAGTTTTGATTTGAAGTGTAATTGCGCTATGAACATCGGAATATAAACTTGAGAATGATTTAACATTTAATTCATTTACATATCTAATCATGTTAACACTACATATATAGTAAGCAACTGTACGAACACCTTTGCAAGTTAGGCTGGGTGAACTTTTATCATTGCCTATTCTTCCATTTAGAATAAATAAACCATTGGCAGCACACAGTTCTAGTAATTGATTACCATAATTATTTACAGTTTTGTCTATGGAATTTCTTTTTAATGGTATATTTAACTTGTTAAGCTCTTGTACTGGTATATTTCTTTCATAAAAAAGTTCCTCATTACAAAATAAATCAAAAATATATTCATCACATCTTATGAAATCATCTCTGTCTCCTGTCCTTTCATTATCATATTTATGTAACAGATTGTAATTCTAAAAAAGGATCATAGTGCTCATATTTTGAGCCCACTGGTGGAATGTAAACATTTCCTAAGTAAAAAACTACAATTTCATCATTTATATTACTTTTTATATCATTTCCACTTCACTTTCGTTTCATAAAGTCTAATAAGTAACCGGTTTATATATTCATATTATGTCTGTTTTAAATAGTGTTTGAGTTGTGTTCAAAAGGATGTTAATTAGAACTTTAAAATATGAAAAATGGACAATTAGATCAATAAGTAAGGTCTGCATTCAATGAACGCAACCCCATCACAGCAACAAACAGGACAGGGCACCTGGGCAAACTGTGACGTTAAATTGATTGCCTCCCCTTTTTATAAGTTCGCCGCTGGCATCCAAAAAGAAAAAAAAACATAGTTCATTCGTAAATTTAATAAGATAGCAATAGTAGGAATTTTAGTTGTTTTTATCGTCAAATAGATATAAGTCGTCAGAATCATCCAAAGTGTTTATATTTTGAATTGCTTGTTTACTCACAATAATTTGTATGGAAATTTACTTCAAATGACAGACGCTTATAAGGTTTAGTTAAAATCAGTTTCAAGAAACGTTTTATTATTTGCGCCAATCAAAATGATTGTTTTTATTCACTGCGGGGATGATCCTTCACAAGCATATAAATAGAGCGAGTTCAGTGTAAAAAATAAGTTTGGTCCTGTCCGTTGGATAGTGGAAACGAAGTCATAAATACTTACTGGTACACAAAATTCTCAGATTTCTGGTACTTAGGACGTTTTATGATTTCTGTAAAATTCCTCGGGCATAAATATTTTGAATAAATATATATTTTAATTTAGTTTTGGTTTTGGCTCCGGACCGTTAAGATCGAAGTTGTAATTATATTTACTAGTACCCAGGCATCTTAGATACTGGTGCTAAAAATATCTTTGCATCTTCAGGAAATATTTTATGATTTAATTTAAAATAGTTAGTCTGCCTGTTGTCCTTGTAAGAGTTGGATATAGGTGATATTGTATTTACTAGTACCCAGGTTTCTTAGATATTTGGTACTTAAAATACTTTATTGCCTAAGTAAAACCTCTTGGACAAATGTTTGATAGAGAATAGTTTATTTGAAGATTGGGTTTTGAACGTTTTATGATAAGAGATTGTTGATTTGAAATATTAAAGCAAGAAATAAGAGATAGGTTTAAGAATATAAATTTTATTTTGTTTGAAAGTAAGTGTGAATAGAGTTTAATTGCTTCTTGAAATATATATTTTGGATAATTTGATAATTAGTTGAAGATTGTTATTTGTGCATTTTATTATTTCTAGAGTTTTTATTAAGTTGATATCTAATTAAAAGGTTAAGAAATCACAAGAAAAATTTATATTTCTAATCAAATTCGGATAAGTATCCTAAGAAAAATTATATATTTGCATTTGAGAATATTGTGATTTTATTTTGTTGCTATAAATTAAGTAATTAACAGCTCGGTACACGCTACAAAACATCGGAAGAAGAGAAATTATATAAATTATTCAAAACAGGAAATCATAAAAACCTTCGAGGTTTAAAAGCTCTATAAAGAGCTTCTTCCTCTTTACACTTGTCAGAAGTATTATCAGCATAATCATCATCATAACATCAGTGTCTTCTTCCCTTTGATCCCCATCACTTTGTTGATATAATAAAGTTCAGTTCTAGATGAAGTTTGTATCAATGAACAAAGTTATTTCTTCTTATTATATCATTTAATGCATGCATATAACGCATGCTTCATAAAGAGAAACAGATGTGATTTATTCAGGTCAATAAGTCTCTCTTGTACTATTTATGCTCTGAAATATCAGAGTGTGTGGTCATCTGACATTTCATGTTCCATGCAAACAGTTTTCGATTCCAATGGGGCATATTGCCAATGTATCTATCGTACTATTTTTTCCAAAGCTTGCAGAATTTGTGGCACATATCTTTATCAAAATACAAAGACAATTTCTGCAAGTATATCGGTAAAATTAACAAAGATCTACAATGGAAAGTATTATACAATTGGTGCCGGCTAATAATTACATGGAACATGGTTAATGCTTATTATTCAAGTACTGTATTATGTATAATGAAAAGAATAGCATAAACCATTGCTACCGTAAACACTTTAAAACTTTATTTATCATATTTTTGTATTTAATAACAAATTTTGGAATAATATATTTTACAGAGATGGTTTAGATATGGTATACATGATAAGAACAGATAAAATGTATGCAAAGCTATCTCAAATTTTCTTTTCTTTTGTAAAGTAGAACAATGGCAACTTGCTACATGCGCATCCGTTTATCAACTTCCCAAGAGCTAAATACATCATCAGAGTCACTATCTTCAAATTCATCGACATTAGACAACTCATTTGCATGTTCGAGTGAAGAAGAAGGTGGACTTAGGTACAATAACAATTTAGAGTATGTTTCATAAAACGATCAAATGACCATATATGTGTCTGTTTCCGATAAATATGTAAATAATTTGAGAGGGAGACACAGGTAAAATTTTTATTTCTTCTTTCTAAATTTGTAATATGATATTCTATTAATGTCCTCGAAATGAATACACTAAGCAAATAAAATATATAAAAAGCAATTGTAGTTGCAAAGATTTTCCACTCACATGGATCAGGTTAACACAGTTAGATTTAATGCTAATTATCGCAGTGAACTATGAGAACGAAATATTACCCATCACATGTAAGACCTTTAATTCAAACTTAAACTATCTGCCATGTTTGTTCTTGAAACGTCATAGGCTTGTTCTTGTTCTTGTCGTGCAGTTTACTTTATCATTACCTGGTACTTCTGTATGCTTAATTAATTTAATGTAATAAACGGACATTACATTATGTTTAAAACAGAATAATATATAATTTATATACACACGTATGCAGGACATTTTAAAACTCGTTGTAGGCGCAATTTGAGTAAATAAAAACAATATAATACTTTGCTATTCATTTGCCTGTGTATACCTTTAAACCCATACCGGTAATGAATTTAGAAAATTTACATTTTTAAATAATCAATTTTCAGGGTTAAAACAATCTAGTTGTTCATAAGCCTTTTAAACCTGTCCAATGTATTTTTTATATTTAAAAGGTGTGATAAATGGCGGACGCTTGAAAATTTTCAGTAACGTTGAAAGATGAAAAATATTTTTTATAGATTTATTTGGATATAAAATGACTTTTATTGATATATTTTGATTGTGAAAGCTGATATTAGTGTGAACTAAGGATTACAGTGTCATTAAATGGGTAAAAAATGATTTTATGAACCAATTACGCCTCCGGGGAAAACGGCGGAAAATCAAACAAAGAAAACTAGAAATAAAACTCGTTCAGGTATGGCTAACATTTCGAATTCTGATGATCACGTCAATAAGATAAACACACAAAGTGAGCAAAATAATCATAGAGTGTGTAATTCTCAGATATTTCAAACCCCTGGTAATGGAAGTTATATCATGCCTCCAGTTTATCCTGTGTCGCAATATATGATGAACCCTGGATCGCCAGTTATGAACCCCACACAAAATATTGCTGGTCCATCAAATAATGATGTATTACAGTCCTTAGGAAATGTGATGTCTAAATTGCAAGCTATAGAGTCTAAGTTAGGAAAGTTAGATTCTATTCAGCTTTCTGTTGAAGAACTGACGACCAGATTAAATTCCATGTACTTAAAGATCAATGAAATAGACTCAAGTCAAAAGTTTATCAGTTGTCAATATGATGATATTTTGAAGTCAACAGTCTCAAATAAGTCAGTAATCGACACTTTACAGTCAGAGGTTCGAGCTTTAAGCATGGAAAATGCATCATTACGGACTGAAAGGGAGGTAATAAAAGGGGATGTTCTGGACCTAAAATGCCGTTCAATGCGCGATAATATGATGTTTTACGGGATTTCAGAAGGTTCGTCTCTGGGTATCCAGTCCCAACCTACACAAAACGGCAACGCAAGCACTTCCGGCGAAGGTCAACACCACTCAGATGATATTCGGTCTATTAGTGAAACTTTGCATGATGTTCACGGAGTTTTATATTCCCATGTATGCAACAGAGAGCCGAATTTTGCAAATGATAATTGTGAGGAAAAAGTGCATTATTTTTGCGCAAACATATTGAAAATTCCAGATGTGAAAAATAAAGTGCTGATTGATCGTGCGCATAGAATCGGCAAAATAGATAAATACAGAATCCCTAAAGAAAGCCCAACACGGCAAAATTGAAAATGTTGCAGGCTCGGTTTGATTGAGCCTGTTCATGGACGGTACTGGAAAGTGCAAGTTACCGTCCACGCCCCCTAGCACCGGCTTAAGCAGAATTCAACATTTAAACATGAAATGGTACAATTTTGAATTTAGAAACATCCGCAGATGTGTTCATACGGCGGTTATCATGGAACCTTCAATGTGACACTTCCGTGCCATTCCATGAAAAGCGGCGTATGGTCCCCAAGTAATAAAAAAGCGTGTGCCCAAAACGAGAAAACAATGGGCAGAACTAAATAAAATCGAATTTTGAAAGGGGATCAGAGGTTATGAAGCCTGCGTATCACAGATAAGACGTCAAAAGACAAATTTAAAAAGCAGGCAACATATCCTAAGGGTGATTCAACATTATTCAAGTAGGAATATTGGAACCAACCAACTAGAAAATGCCGAAAAGTTGAAACTAAAAATACCACAAGCACAACAATAATGTCGTGCTGAACGATCTTTAAGGATCGAAAATATAACATCATTGATTAAATGTACGGGGAGACTTTTTACAGCCAACATCCGGTAAATGTAGGCCAATTGTGGTTAAGTTCAAGGATACAGCATCAAAATTAGAGGTAAAAAATGCATTAAAATCTGTGAATCTTAAAGGTACAAAATTCAATGTAGGTGAGCAATACCCACAAGAAATTCAACAAAGAAGGCGTGACTTAATACCAAAAATGATTGAAGCCAGAAACAAAAATAAAAAAGCAGTTCTTGTTCGTGATAAACTTTTCATTGACAATAAACTGTATGTGTTACCGCAAAATGGGTAAAGGAACAAAATGGCGGTACAATGGCGGTCGAAAGTTTTACATGTATAAATTTTGGCGATAATGATGATTTAAAGACAATACACCCGAAATATATAAAGATATATAGGATGGAAAAGAGTCCTTGAAATAAAATTATGACCAGTGGAAGAGCTAACAACCAAAAACACAAACATAAACAAAATCAGAAAAAACAACCGAACAAGGCAAGTTCAAACGAAAATGTAAACAACACCCACCCACTTTTAAAGAACAAAGTCCAGCGAATGTTTATGATCATACACAGACAGTAGCAACAAATCCTCAAAATATGAATATGCAACACAAGCCTAGCTTGAATCCAAATGCAGATAGCTTCCAGCAACAGAAAAATACAAATTCTGTTGATAATAATATCAAGGGTGAAATTAGAAATTGTTACCTGCACACTGACAGTAATAGAAATATGACTTCAAATTACCTTCAACAAGCTAGAGAGACATTATATTTACAGCCCCAACCATATCTGACCAAACCATCTGAACCATCTGAACAATCCCAGCCAGAATCCAGCCAAATGCCAAACCATATGTACCAAATAAGACCAATGCAAACATATGTAACTGGTTATATGAGTATGAATAATAGCACAGAAACACTGGACACAAGTGTTACTAATCCGGATGAAAACCATATACATATAAATCAAAACAATATATCACATAATACACAGATGGAGGATGCACCACACTGGGTCAAAATAATGATGACTGAAATGGACAACCAATTTAAAATGATACACTCACAATTTGAAATTCAAAACAAGAACTGGAAAACAATTGAAGAATCTATGGAAAAGCAAAACAGTAGAATAACAAATATTGAACATAGAATACAAAAGTTTGAAACAATAGAAACAAGTGTAAAATCAATGACAACACAAATTGACTCCATGAACATAGAATTAAATAAAAATAAGATGAAACTGAATGATGTAGAAGAAGCAATTCAATATACTGATGATATTTGCCAAACAATAAACTCTAGCAGTGATTCAAAACAAGAACAAATAGATACTCTTTCTGAAAACTTAAAAAAAATGAAAATAGAAACAATGACTATAAAAAGACAACAGGAGGAAGACCATGAAAAGATATTAGATATCCAGACAAGAAGCATGCAAAATAACTTATTATTCATGGGTATTGAAGAACCAATTCTAGAAAGTGGTCAAGTAGAAGAAACAGAAGAAACACTCACTGCCTTTCTTGATGAACATATGAATTTCAGAAAAACTTTTGAATATCAAGCTGTCCATAGAATAGGGGAAAAAACAAATAACCCAGAAAGGCCAAGGCCAATAGTTGCAAATTTTGTTAATAGAAAAGATAGAAATAGAGTTAAATATTCAGGAAACTTGTTAAAAGATACAAGATTTAGTGTGGTTGAACAATTCCCAAGAGAAATTGAGGAGAGGAGAAAGAGACTATATCCGGTGATGAGAAAAGCAAAAGAAAATAAGCAAAATAAAGTAAGATTAGTCAAAGATAAATTGTATATAAACAATACTGAATATAAAGTAAATTAGAAACAAATACAAGATCTTACAAATGGCTTTGAACACAGAAAACATTTTGAGATGAATAGTGAAAGGACATAAGATAATAAACATGATACACATAAAAATGGAAGACATAAACAAGACAACTCAAAAGAAGGGAGAATATTCTACCAGACCAAAAAATATGACAGACATTATCAAACAACACCTAGACAAAATATTAAAACTTCAAACAGGTTTGGAGCACTGTCATTTGTGAATGAAAATGAATGGCCACCAATAAACATAAACAGGGAAAAGAAGAAAGCTACATCACAATTAGATATGGAAGTTACCTTTAAAAAGAGTAGAGAAAATATAAAGCATGGAAATCTAAACTCAGATAGTTCAGATAGTGAAAACAGTGTGATTGAAATGCATGCAACAAATGTAAAAACAAAAAATGCTAAAAGTGTGTTCCAAATAGATCAACAATATGCACATACAACAACAGATACACAATCAGGTAACATAAGTCATAGCAACAAAAAAGGAATATCTACACAAGCATCAACAGTGAACAAAAGAATTGAAGAATCAGAATCAACAAGAGTACAACAGAAAGAGAATACTTCAAACAATCACAATGATACAGATAACATAAACATAAACCTCTAGGATGGGGTTGAGAACAATCATGACAGTATAAAATATGATGAATTAAATATTCTTAGTATAAATGTCTGTGGGCTGAAGTCAAAATTAAACTGTCCAGAATTTATAAACTTTGTCAATAAATATGATATAATTGGAATTCAGGAATCAAAACTTAATGACGTTGACACTATTGATATAGACGGCTACAAATGTTTTACTTCAAACAGGAAATCAGTTGCCAGATATAGATCTGGAGGTATTGTATTACTTGTAAAAAATAACATTTCTGATAATATAGAAGTTCTTGAGTGCCAAACTAAACTAATGCTACTTTTCAAAATTAAACTTGATCAAACACAAAATGAAGAAGAAATAGTTTGTTGAATAATATATATTCCACCTATTAGAACCAGGTATGCACATGTTGATCCTTATCTGGAATTACAAATGAAGATTGACAAATATGATGGAAGTAAACTGTTGTTATTTGGAGATTTTAACTCTAGAGTTAGTAATGAAAGAGATTATACTGAAACAGATAGTTTTATTTGTGAAATAAATGGTAATAGTGAAGCATATGAGGAAAACCAGTTACTTTTTGAATCATTTATACATTCTGATATTCCTATTGTAAGAAGAAGTATTGATACCGTTAAAAATAAGTATGGTACAGAGCTGTTGGATTTTTGTAAAAGCAATGACATTTTCATTTTAAATGGAAGATTAAATCCTGACTATGATAATTGTCAAACTACATGTAAAGGAAAAAGTGTGGTAGATTACTGTATATGTAATACTGAATGTTTTAAATATCTAAAATCATTAACAGTTGGAGATTTTTGCTCATTACTGTCTGATGTACACTGTCCTATCTCATTGTGTTTGAAAATGAAACATGAAGTTAAGATAGAATGTGTTAACACAAATGATAAAATTGATAACACACCTATATGTAAGTTATGGAGGGAAGGTTCCAATGAAATATTTTCTGATAATATTAACAAGGTAGATGTTGACAATGTCTACAGCAACTTATGCAAGCTTAGTGAAAGTAACCAGGCCACTCAAGCAGATATTGACACAATTGTAAATAACATTAATGACATCTTTCAAAATTGCTGTGAAAGTACTTTTGGTTTTAAAATACCAACTATTTCACATGGTAAAAACAAAAAGAAACCATGGTTTAATGCTACTTGTAGAAATATGAGAAATAAATACCACAATGCTAGAAAACTGTATAACAGATATAAAAATATAGAAACCAAAAATAACTTAAAACAAGTAAGTAAAGAATATAAATCATCAATTTCAAGAAGTGTTAACTTATATAAACAAAATAAAATAAACTCTTTAAGAAATTGCAAGTCTAAAAGTAGTAGAGACTTCTGGAAAATTATTAATTCTGTTGATATGAAACCAACAGAAAGCACCTCTTTAGATAAACTGTATACATTTTTTAAAGAAATAAATGAAAATTCTTTTGAAAGTAATGAAGAAATTGAGGTTGAATTTTCACATAATGTAAATGATGAAATCAATCTGCCAATAACAGGAGAAGAAATTCTAAAAGCACTAAGAACACTAAAACATAATAAAAGCCCTGGTGTTGACAAAATTATTAATGAACATATAAAAATGTACAATTGACTGTATGTTGCCTATTTATGTAAAACTGTTTAATCTTATATTGGATACAGCCATTATACCAGAATCATGGACAAGTGGAAACATTATTCCTATTTATAAGCAAAAAGGTGACAAAACAATGCCTGAAAATTACAGGCCAATTACACTGTTAAGCTGTGTTGGTAAATTATTTACAGCTATTATAAATAGTAGATTGAACAAGTATGTAGAAGAAAACAATATTATTAAAAACTGTCAGGCTGGTTTTAGACAGAATCATTCAACTATAGATAATCTTTTTGTTCTACAATGTCTCACAGATTTACTTAAAGCAAATAAAAAAGCTATGTTGTGCATTTATTGACTTCAAACAAGCCTTTGATTCAGTTTGGAGACAAGGACTGTGGTTTAAACTTTTAAAATATGGCATAAATGGTAAATGTTTTGACCTGATTAAAAGTATGTATGCAAACATTAAATCTAGAATTGTTACAAAAAATGGTAATTCTCTATTCTTTAATTGTTTAAAAGGTGTAAGACAAGGAGAAAATTTGTCTCCTCTCCTCTTTTCATTATTTTTGAATGATTTAGAAGAGTTTTTGTGTGAAAAAAGAGCAAAAGGTGTAAATAGTGTTGCTCAATGTGAAGGTTTTTATCAATTTTTACAAATATTTATAATTCTTTATGCAGATGATACTGTTATAGTTAGTGAAAATGAAACAGACTTACAGAATAGTTTGAATATTTTTGAGAAATATTGTTTAAAGTGGAAATTAACTGTTAATGTTAGCAAAACCAAAATATTATTAGTAGGTACAAGGAAAAAGAATTATAATATAAAATTTTTATTCAATGGTCAAGAATTAGAAATAGTAAATGAATATAAGTACCTAGGCATATATGTATCAAGAAGTGGCAGCAATTTAACAGCCAAAAAGCATATTGCAGAACAAGCAAATAAAGCCATGTTTTCACTTTTAAAAAAGATCAGAATACTTAATTTACCTATTGATCTGCAAGTTGATATTTTTTGTAAAACTATGAGACCAATTTTATTGTATGGTTGTGAAATTCGGGGGTTTGGCAATTTAGATATATTAGAAAGAGTACAGTTAAAATTTTTTAAATTAATTTTAAATCTAAAAAAGTACCCCATCTAATATGATATATGGAGAACTAGGTGTACTACCACTGGAAGTAGATATAAAATCTAGAATTGTTGCATTTTGGAGTAGGTTACATAATGTTGAATCCAGAAAATTATCTAGAGGTATTATGGGTAATGAACAATGGCGGTCATGTTTTGGTTTTCGCTCCATCTAAAAATTTGAAAAATTGTGCTCTTTCTTTATTGATTCAAAAACTGGACTATTGTTTTGCTTGGAAATGTTATCTGGTAAATATCAGGGAAAATACGCTCCACTGGGCGAGGATTTTGTACTACAAAATGCAAGAAAGAGAGCTCGCCGTTCGTCCAGTGCCACGTCATCATCGGACACATCCCACCCACATGGTGAACAGGTATCTTTTCAACCAACTAAAGAACAATTTGTAAACATGTCTATGGATGAAAAAATGACTAGTATTTTGACATGATGGTAAATTTTGGATCAATAACTCAAAAATTGGACTTGATAAATAGAAATTTGTACTATTAGTCTGCAGTCCAAGATGTAAACGAGGACAGAATACGTTTACTCGAATACAAAAGCATGTTGAAAAATAACCTACTGTTCACAGGCCATCCTGAAATGATGTCTGGAGACGACTGCATGTCTATTGTCAATAACTTACTAAAAAATAACCTACAATTAGATATGAGTAATATTCATATTACAAAGGCGTTTCGTGTGGGTAAGAGGCAGATCAGTCGATCACGTGTAGGAGCCAGACCTTTTCACCGGGCAATACTAGTATCGTTCAGCGACCCTTTTGTCACAGACATTATCATGGATAAGGCATACCTTCTGAAAAATTCATTATATGGTATATCTCGTGATTACCCCAGGGAAATTAGGGAGGCCCGTCAAGAGCTTTGGCCGGACTTTAAAAATGCTAGGGATAAATATGGCAAAGAAAACGTTAAATTGAAATTTCCAGCTGCACTTGTTATCAATGGAAAAACTGTTAAAAATCTTTTCCCCGATTGGTATGAAATTTTACGAGGTTCTCGCAATTCAAATATCATGGAACGAATTCAAGAGAAATTCAAGCGAACTGTCGAGGCTTCACTTGCAAGCTCCTTTTCTCATGAACCTGATATCATGGAGGGGAACCCCAGCGACAGCGAAAAGGAGCCCAATGTTGCTACGGGTGGCAAAGCCAATATAGATTCGACTACATCAAACCAAGGCAACCATCATCGTAACGACGTTGTATACACAGGAGAACCAAAGGCCTCTTCACAAGGGGGCTATCTGTTGAATGTGCACCCACCACTCAATCAGCTCGATACAAATAATCGCACCGAGGACGGGCCTTCACCGACGGACAAAGATAAATAGCGAGGTGCGGGTATTGTATACCTTTGTGACGAATGTATTAATCTACCAAGTTGTTCTACCTATGTTGTTTGTAAACATTTAAAATCTAAGCAGAGTAATTATATGAATAAAACTTCCTTTAATAGCCGCGGGAGCTTAACAAGTGGTAATGTGAATTATACTAAAGAATAGACTGTGGATTTAAAACCTAGTGAAAATATTAGTGCCAGTTTTCTTCCTGACATAAGCGACGGCGAAAACTTGTCTGTTAGTCAAATCTATAATGTGGATTTTACGGGTGAAAATTTTGATAATAATCATCAATTCAATGTGGATTTGAATATCAGTGAAAAAAATTGTGTCAATTCAAATTATAATATAAGTGATAGTGATAACTCAAATATTTATCAAATCAATAACATGAATATACAAGACGTCCTAAACCTGAATACATGTACTATTGATCAACAAGTTGAGAACTTAGATATTTTGCATGATTTTGACTTTAAAGATTCGAATATGAGCTTAAAAATAGGTACCTTAAACGTATGTGGATTAAAAACTAGAACTAACTACCCTGAGTTTGCTAAAATGGTAGAGGAATTTTCAATATTGTGTTTATCAGAGACTAAAGTTGATGAATATGATGTAATTGACATACCAAATTATACTTTTTTGTCAAAACCAAGATCAGAAAAATTTAAACGCAAATCTGGTGGTATTGGTTTTTTTGTAAATAATTTATTAAAGGATAAATTCAGTATATTAGAATCTAACTGCGAGTACATTTTTTGGATAAAAATTAGTAACTTTATACAGAATAACGATCTTGTAATCGGGTCAATGTATATACCGCCAGAGCATTCTAGATTTTTTAATGAAGACGAATTTTTTGTGCTCGAAAATGAA